CAGAGATCCTGTTAAACTACAATATAGAGCTGCTCCTGGGCATTTTAAACTTTGTATCCAGAAGACAGCAGGAGAGAAGAGAAGTCATCATCCCGGCAGAAGAAATTGAACCTGATCTCCCAAATGAGATAAGTGTGCTTTTACCGTAAGCGGATAGAGGTATGCGTGTGGAATCCAGGTGATCTACTTTGAAGCCTTGTGGGATTCTTTTGTTCAGTTTTAATGGTTAATTGACATGTGCAGCAATCCTAGTTTGAGAAAGTATGATTACCTGGGGCTGACCTGTCAGGAATGAGTATCCGGGTCACATCACCAGGTAAACTAACAGGACCTCTGGGACTAACTACAGAGATGGGGTTGTAATTTGTCCTCCAAACCTTCCTCTTTCAGAATTTTTCTCAGGGAGAGTGACCCACAGGAATGGGGGAATACTTCCTGAAAACATGTGCAGAGACTCTGAGACATTCGAGATGGACTGTGGTGGTCATGGAAGTGTACCATGCAGATATCCCCTGCAAGATAATCTGCTGCAAGAATAGTTGGCAAATAGCCTCTAGTTGCTACATTTTTGGATGCATCACAGTGTTCATGTAAAGTTCATGCTCCTCCTGGGCTGTCCCTAGCCCAGGAACAGCCTGGGGACAACAGAGCGACTAGGGCCAGGCAATTCCTGCCTGACACAGCGCTCAGCTGAGAGCCCATCTTTGCTTTTGGATTGTATTGTTCACCCTACCCAAGCTCTCTTTTTTTTCTTCTCTCCTTTCACAGATGTCAGACTTGCATCAGAAACTGGAGGTTTTTCCTGTTCCTGCTCCTCTTTTTTATTCTCTGCAGGTATTTCTCCCAGTAAATCACTTACACATCTAATTCTGTCTTGGAATGTGCTTCTCACAGGATTCAGACTGACACATCAGATAATGCCTATGAAAGTTCTCCTTGTGATTAAAACTAAGCACTCTAATATGTTGTAGAAATGGTTTATTTCTTAAACAGCTTTCTAGTAACTCTTAACCATGGAACTGTGAATAATTTGCATGCATATACATTTTCATTATGTAAACACATAGATACAATATTGCATTTATTAATTTGAAATAACAGAAATGTTCATCTATATTTGTCAGACGTCCATAATCTGTTATAGAAATATAGAGAAGCAAAATTCCAATATATTATATTACATATTATAAATTATAATTTGTCATACAACATATTCCTTTTCTATTTATAGATATTCTTCAAAGGAAGTCATATTCCTTCTGGAATCCACCTCTGATCATTCAAAGGTTAAACAAAAAATAGCCTAAATAGAAATATATATTTTATATCATTTTTAATTTTGCCACTGTTGCAGAGCAAGATAAAAAATCGTATTTTTAATTTGGATAAAATCCTCTTCAGAAGTAGGTACATGTGGGTATTGTTGCAGGTTCAGAGGGTAGGCTGGTAGGTCTTCTATTGTTTGTTAGCTGAAAACTGCAGTATTCTGTGACATTGAATTAAAATGAGAACACGTCAAATAGGGTAAATTACAGCTAAGTTTCCACTAGTCCGCAATGCAGAAAATACAGGGCGCATTAATAACTCTTGACCTCATTACTTTTGTATTTGTCTAACAAGAATGAAGTATTTAAGTCACTGCTATGGTAACTTTGGATTTACATATTTTTTTAAGATCACACTTTTTTTAGAGATTGTTTTATCTGCTCATAAAAGATATATATTCTAGACATTCGGTTAAGAAAAGAGGTGCAAAAAGAATTCTTTCTATTCAAGATGAAGTTTGTATCAGGCTAAAAGTTGCTTTATTTAGAAAAAATATGCTGTCCATGTTTGGGTGGCTTTTCCTATGCATACTGTCTTGTCAAGGATTCTTCTTTCAACTGCAGCCCTTGCTGAGTAGCTATGAACAATGAATTATATATCATGTAATATATATACTTTTTTACTTTTGCTTTGTGGCTGAAGCCATATCTCTAGTCTTCATTTTTCTCTCTTCAGTTTGTTTTTGGAGTTTCACCTGCCTGCTGGAGTTTCCACCTGAAAGAGCTAATGTTACCTCAAATTCATTCTGTTGTGTAATAAAGAATCTGGCTGGTTTTTGTCTCTGGTCTTTGGGTGGAAGCCTCCAAATCCTTGGATTTCCCATGTGATAGGAGTGTTTGTTATTTATGTTTTATCAGCATAAACACCTGAGTTTATGCTGATGAGACGACTTATGGAGAGCCTCTAGAGAATTTATGCTGATTAGATGAGTAAAGATGGGTGGTGGCCATGCCAGAAAGTCCTATCATGTGATTACAGGGTTGGGGCTTTGAGTCTTGTGATCTTGGCCTGATTTCTGGCTTAGAAGAAGAAGGAGGTTGAATTTTGAGTTCAACTTTATGGCCAGTGAATCAGTCGGTCATGCCTACATAATGAAGCTCCAACAACAACTCGATACAATGAAGCTCAGTTCACTTTTCTGGTTGTTGATACACATGGATGTGCCAAGTGGGTGATGCATTCTGGGGACATGGGTGATTCAAGTTTGGAAGCCTCTCAGATCTTGCCCTATGCATTTCTTTATTTGGTTGGTCCTGATTTTCATCCTTTCTAACAAAACTGTAATTCTGAATTTTCTGAAGTGTTGATATAATTTATTGAACTCTGTAAGTTGTTCTAGTGAATTTTCAAACCTGAGGGGGTAGTGAGAACCTCAAAAAATATAGCCAGTTGGTCCCAAGTATGGGTGGCCTGGGAACTCCAGACCTGTGACTGGAGTCTCAAGTGAGGGCAGTCTTGTGGGGTCTGTGCCCTTAACCTGTGTAATTTGACCTAACTTGGTTTGTTAGTATCTGAACTGCATTGCATATTCTTTAAATCCTGAAGCATAATCCTTTCCCAGAGCCAACAAGCTTACCTGCTGAACTTTGTTTCTATTCCCACCTTATCAGCCATTCAGTCTAATCCCTTCCCATAAACTTCTTACATGCTTTGTCTTCAGTTCATGTCCAATGCTACATGTGTAACCTTTGTTTTTTGTTTTTTTTACCTGGGCTGTCCCAATACTACTTAAACTGGCTCATCTTCACTGTAATCTATTCTGTATTTTCCAGTGAAGTTCATCTTCCTCACACTCTTCAAACTCAAATATCTTTTTTCAGAGATGTCTAGCTAGTACCCACTGCAACATCTCTCAAGTAGCAGGCACACATGTATATGTTAAATAAATATCTCCCTGTTGTCCAAACTCCACAGCTGCAGGGGAGCCTGCAATTGTCTCCTAGGTACCCCTTCAACCTCATCTTCTCTTACTTATGTAAATGAATCCTGTATTCCAAACCAATTACTTTACTCGTCACTTTGCTTACTCTCAAACACTATGGATCCATCCCCTCTCCACTGACCAACCAGTGCCTGTCGAAAAGGCTCTGTCTCCCTTTATACTAAGTTCCATCCCTGCTGTGTGTCTTTTTAGATTTCTCCATTCCTTAGGCATAGCTCTCACTTCTGAATTTCTGTAGTACTTATTGTATGCATACTTCCATACTGTATGTGTTGTGTTGTATGTGGTTCTCAATTGGCTACTAGTCTAAACCACACAGGATTTGGGTTATTTTCTATTATTGCAGGTTATTTTGTAAAACTACACCATGGACTTACGAAAACAGGCAACTATAACTTCTTGTGATCTCAAGGACATACGTAATAGACGTGAAAGTTTTTCAGTTTTGCTATAGAGTTTCTCTTGTCTAATTAGTACAATCAGTCAAGTCTGAACTGTTAAAAACAATGAAGGTGAGAAAAATATTTTAGCTACTGATTCTTAATATATTCTAATCAACTCAATAATTTAAATGTCCTTGAAATTGTAGAGATAGCATTGTCCATATTGTCCTGCTGATAGCCACAATTACAGAGAAATTCATTTGCTGTTCTTCATTAGGGCATGTGTGATTTTTCACTTACTTGCTGTAATCTAAACTTTTCTCACTTGAATGCCCAGATAACAAAGGCTCACTTCTCCCACCGTAGAACCAAACAAAACTGCGCCTTTAAGATAATAAGGTGACCCTTTCTCTTTCTCAACAGAGAAGGAATCATGTCCCAAACATCATTTAAGCAACACAACATATTCAGGCAGCTTTGCATCTATAATTTGGCATATATTCTTACACTACCATATGCTCATATATAATCGAAGACTAAATATTAGCATTCAATTTTTTTCATTTTGTAGTAAAGAGAAGAAAAATAAGACTTCAGTGTCACTAGTCAGAAAAGATACGCAATTCAGCATTCACTTAATAGAAAGAGACATACCTTGTGTAGAAATGGCCCCAGTTTGAGAAAACACAACTTTTTAAAGAAAGATAAAGCCCTAGAAGTGATTGCAGGGAATTTACTAAGCTTTTTGGGCAAATGGGTTCTGCAGCATTAGGGCAGCACTGTTTTAGAGTTTTATATGTTCTGAACCTGAATGATCAATCATACTACTGAAAAACTATAATGTTATGAAGCTGAATTTTAAAGTGTAGAATACTTAATCTGTGAATAGAGATGAATGTGCTTGAAAATAAAGATGAAGTGAATAGTGAAAATTTACTTCTCTGCAAAGCTTTCTCTGATAAATTTCAAATTTCTTTGTAAGAGTCCACATTATTTTTACTTACTGTCAATGAAAATATATTTTACAGATCTTGCTTTGTCAAATATAATCTTGTAGTTGTTCTATATTCCTACACCTGAGTTAATGATTTCTCTCAAATAGTACTGTCAACCATTTACAGGTTTGTGGGTCAATACACATTTTAAAATGTCCAGTAGGAAATTTTTAAATTAATTTCTATCAATTCAAAGGGATAGCAAAACTATGTGCTGATATAATAGTCTATAAAATGACATGGTGACTGAAAAATTCAATTACTTTTACTGTTATTCTTGCCTCTTGAGTTAGTTAAGCTTTATATTAAGCTAATGAGAAATGAGACTAGTAGAAAGAAATACAAAAAAGTACATATTTTAAACCCTTCTTTATTATCCAGTTTTACAGATGTGTGATAAGGTTTGGTAACTGAAGGCTATCATTGGATCAAAGTTGACTTTGGGAGTGAGCCCATGAACATTTTTTGCAGGTAGAGCAAAAGTAAACGCGAATGGCTGCATTTTGGTGAAGGCCCCCAGCAGCAACCCCTGAAGGTTTTAATGTCTTCCATGGTGAACAGGATTGTATTTGGAGGAAAGTATCTGTAACCAAATGAGACATACATGGATTCAGAAAGGCTTCCTAGGAAACGTCTCACATACAATCAAGCATTGTGTTATGGCAACAGTGAGTTGTATTCTTACAGAACAGAAATTCCCAAATGATGCCTGAAACAAGGAGGTGTAGAATAACTACCAAAAAAGTGAGATTTCTTAGGGGTCCTCAGACACTGAGCCAGAGAAGAGAGTGGCCTGGAAACAGTGCCAACAGTTTTGAGCAGGGAACGGATTTCATCACATTGCCAAGGGAGGGGAGCTTGGGCTCTAAATATGGGGACATAAACTGTCCCAAAGATGACATTTTGGAGTTTGGTGCATATTTTTAATTCTGAATTGAATAGGGAACTCTTATATCAGGATTCTGCATACACTGTCCAATTGTCTCTTTGTATTCTGTGGTTTTTTAGACTCTTCAGTGAAAGGCAGGATTGCTTTGGAAACAAATTGCTTTGTCTCAGCCAGGGATTCTCAAGTAACACCTCTGTCTTTCTTTGAAGAATATCTGATCTTTTCCAAGGAAGTTAAATTTGATCCAAATTTTGGAAGTGGGAAGGAACATAAAGAAAGATAAAAAGGAAAGGCAGTCATTTACTAAGAAGAGACACATCACTAAGATTTTGGCATCAGGACCAGCAACACAATACTTATTCAGGATATGCCATCATTTTAAACAATCAGTTTATGAGCACCTCTTACATGCTAATATAATGTTAGATATTGGAGCTATAAAGACAAATAGGTTCCTTCTGCCCTAAGGAAACTTATATCTTTATAGGGGAAACAGATGAGTAAGCCAAAAAAAAAAAAAAAGACAATACAGTATGTTACATTTTCTGGTAAGTTTGCTGGAGGTACTTTGGGAGGGGAATATCTAACCCACTTCAGGAGCAAGGGGAAAGGGTTAGAAAATATTTTCAAAGAAGTAGTGGCTGAAGTAAGTCTATATATCAAATATGTCTTTGTGAGTGTTTGTGTAAAGGGCTATCTGTTGAATTGTGACAAGTAATTATAGCAGTGGTATTCAGAGATGAGTTAGTATTGTGTCTTGAATGTCCACCAGAGAATTCTGACTTGATAGAAATAGGAGGTCATTTAAATTTTTAAGCTGGGAGCAACAATAAGGCAGAAATTCTTCTAAAGCTTTCTGTCCGTAGATCAATCAGATGGAAAGGGGATTGGAGGTGGAGATGTAAGTTAGTTATTTTGTTAAACAACTTGAATGTGGGGCAATGGAAACCAACCTGAATCTAGGAGGGTGGTTATGGGGAAAACACAAATCGTCTGAATGTGAGTCTGGATTCTGAGTTTGTCTCCAGTGGCTTTTCCGTAGGAATGGTCATTTCATCCAAACTGGAGGAGAGAAGAAAACTATAAATCAATCAGCAAGAGCATCCAACTGATAACTGGTTCAAAGACTATCTGTGAAACTCTTTTGAGATGTAAATATAGATTTTGAAAAAGACATGAGAATAAACATAAACAGCAAAGAAGGTAAAAGTTGGTTCCTAGATGAAGGTACTGGTGTCCACTTACATGCCCTTTATCCTTTTGTTTAACATTGCTTCTGCTACTGTTTTTTCATCATTATGAAAATTTCTTAAAAGAAGATAGGAATGACTATGTGAAAGGATTGGCACCAAGTATTACGAATATGGCCAACAGAAACTTGTGGTCAAAATAAATTTTGATATACCTAAATGTTATTTGATACCAAATGATCTTTAGAAGAAAGTGATATGTGATACTTTAGAAGAAAGTCCTAGTATGAGAATTTAGCAAACTCAAAATAATTTATCATGATAAATATCAGTGCAGTAAAGGAGGAAGAAAACACTTAAGGAGCCTTTATACTTCATGCATTGTACTACACGTTTTACTAGAATAAAAATACTTGATGAATTAGAATGTGCACAGATCATATTTTATTATCTTGGTTGAGAAGTTTAGTAGAATACATTAGTTCATCCTAACAAATAAGATTATAGCATAAACAATTTTGAAAAATAATTTAGAAATCTAAAAGTAAAAGTTCATATGAAATTTAAAACTTTTAGGCCATTGATTGTGAATGGCATATTCTTGATTATACATATTTTCTACCTTTGTTTATATGTAATTCTGTTGTTGCCTATGCTTTAGGTCAATCCCTATGAAGATGGTTAATTTTCATCGCTCTGTTGGTTGAAGCTACTTCTTCTGGCAGGGTCACTGCACATTTTCTCAGGGGTGGTTCACCTCAAATTCATTGCTGCCACAGGAAAATTAACAAAGCAGATATCCTGCTGATCTCAGGTCACAATAATAGTTTTCCCATACATGAAGGGCAGTGTGCAATTACACAAATATAAATGAAAATTAATATTCTCTTTGTTTAAACATTCTAATTTATCTCTCAGTTATCTTTTTTGAAGTATTCATGTTTTGAGGTTAAAAAAAGAACTGAGTAAAAGCCTACTTATAACAAAATAAATTACCCTTTGATATCCAGTGCAGCAACCTAGTATTTGAGAAAAACAGAACTCCACAAAGGCTTAATATATTCAGAATTTGACAAAGTGTGACCCATTTGCAGAAGCAGAAAATACACCACAGGTATTTTAGTGTTTCTTATTTTTCTTCCAAAAGCAGATAAATCATATTTACCAGCCAAAGAAAAGAACTGTTTCCAAACTTACTTGTTTAGAGAAAAATAGAGAAACGGGGGGGAAAAAATACAATAATTTTGACTCGGAAAGATACTCTCAAAATACGAAATGTAGAGGGCTTTAAAAGATCTCATAAGAATGGCAAAATATGGGAAGTATTTGATGAACTTATTTTAAAAATAATCATTGCTATAGATGCCTACAGGCCCTTTACACGCTGTGAGGATATTGAATGATTTATAGATGCCACATGTTCACACCGCCATTTTTTATAGGTAATTTCTAAGATTTTTGTCAGAAGTTTAAAATATACTGGAAAAAGAATAAACAACATTAAAATACAAACTCTGCAATCTGGCTTAGGTATTCTCCTAAGTGCTCATATTTATAATAGCACTTTTTCGATTTTTCTGCATGTGCCATTTTAATTTTTTCTCTTTTAAGAGAACATCAACTCCTTCAACATAGGGGAACTCTGTCTTGCACATCCCCATGTGCCCAGTCCCTTGTACTGCACTTAACACATGATGTATCCACACGTTTGCCAAATATAAGAATGAGTCAACAAGCACCGGAGCCCAAGGGCAATTCTTTATGAAAAAGAGTATATCTTAATATATAGATTGAAATACCTTTATATTACTCAAGCATTGAAAATAGATCCATATGTTCACTGATTATGTTTAAATCTTCCAGACGTCCTCTCAAAAAGGACTTACATAATACTCATTTATGTCATTTAAGTTTTATAAAGTACCAAAATAGCATGCCCTTGTAATTAACACTGTAATTAATATTTCCTTAAAAATTCTAAGTGGTGAACATTATGTTGATGAACTGGGACAATGACGGAGATGTCATTTCTTAACCACATTTTCGGAATTCACACTGAGCTATGCTTTAAGTCTAAGTCAGAGTTGGGACTAAAATTGTTTTTGTTTTTTATTTACTTCAATAAAAATTTAAAATGATATAGAAGGATTTAAAAAGGCTTTCAAAACTGCATTTAAAAATGCAGTTCCTTTATTTGTTGACAACCACTCCCAGTGGCCTGGTCAGACAGATCGGATGTGGCTAGAATGACTTGTGTCCACAATGCTGCAGATCAAATTAAAAAAAAAAAAAAAAAAAAAAAGTTGGAAATGGCTTTTGGAACTCTTGGAAACCACTTCCAGTCTAAAGCCACAAGGGCAGAAATAATCAATAATGGTAGCCATTTGGTTTCATTCACTTCTTTTAATGAACATGCTCACAACTCACTAAAAGCATTCTAACTGGACTGGGATGGATTTCAATTCTCTGGTGACTGACAAAAATAGAGCCTTTGACAAAACCTGTGGGGTTGCATTGCTCTCCACTCTTTCCCTGTCCTAATAGACAGTGGTGGTGTTTAACTCCGAAAATTGCCATCTTGGTAGCGACTGACAAACAGTTGATCTGTAACTATTAGCTAAATTCTCCGTGATTTTTTATTCAATTTATTTTAGGAAAGCATCTATAAACTGTAGAGCAGTTTCAAATATGTAAAATCTGTAAATGCAGGCATAAAGGTCTCAAGAAAAAATGGGCTCACAGCTGATTTAATCAGTGTATTAATATTCAGTAGGATAATTTCCATTTCTGTAGTCTCTGCCCTAGTTCAAGTAAGCATTAATTTGTATCTAATAAAGTGTCATTAATACTGTGGATACTTAAAAATTGCTTTTGATAAATGAACAACATCTGGCTTATTGCAGCAGCCTCTTAACTTGTCTTACTTTATTTAAGTTCCTTCCAATTATTATCTATTTTATAGCTAACTGCCAAAAAAAGAATTCTTCTTGTAATTTTCCACCATAGGTAATTTCTTGCTTATGAAACTAGTTTTCTTTTTTTAACAAAATCAAAATTCCTGTGCTTGAGATGAAATTTTCTCCATCAATTTTCCTAGATTTTCATTTCTTACTATCTAATCTCATTAATTCATTGCATCAGCATTTTTCAAAAAGTACATTTTAATTTTTTGATGACTACTAAATATAGTCATCATTTTAAAAATGCAGTTTAAGAATTTCTGAAATAAGTATACCAGCCCACTGGTAAACAAAGAATAGAAGGTCTCTATCATTTCAGAAAATGCCCTTTTCTCATATCCAAGTCATTTCTCATATCCAAGTCATTCTTGGGCAAGAATGGGAGAAGATGTGAAGATAAAAGGGAAGTGATGATTGGTCTGTCTCTTTGTCAGTTGCTTCTTTTTCTCCCTAATTTTAAAACCATAATGTCTGCACATGAGAGGATTTAGTGTTCAAAGGGATAATAAATCTTTTCAGAGGGAGTGGACAGTATAGTTACTGACCAAGTGTAAATTTACTTAAGTGCACATTTAGGGGCTTCTCAGGGGTTCTAGTATTATGGTTGCATATCACCCGAAATTGAATTTTGTCCTGCCCTAATGTTTCATGTAGCAAAGGGGGAAATGAAGATAAACTGAAATGAATGAATAAATCTAGGCTTTTTAATAATTATTTTTCTTCAACAAGATAATTCAACTTAAATCTCAAGGCCTGGAATAGAAAAAGTATTCTTTACATACCTATGCTCCATGTTGAGGTTCCCATCACACAAACAAACTTTCAAAACTTGTCAAATAAAAATAATTATTAAAAAGCCTAGATTCATAGTTTCTAGGTCACTGGAGATTTATTATTGAAAATGATAACATCTTTTCATTTACCGTTCTAATTCATCAGTTACAACTTTCCACTTTATGGAGTCCCAGAGAATCTGAGTACATCTCTCAGTCAGCTCTAGCATCAGGTATCAACTGTATTACAAGAAAACAATCTCAACAACAATTTCCAAGATCAAACATAGAAGAAAATTATAGAGTTAACTTTTTAACTTGTCTTCCTTTCTTATCCTATGCTGGGAAATATGTTTCCTACAATATTCCCCAGTTTCTTCCAAATTATGTTTTTAATGGATTCCTATACCTAAAATGAACTTTTTTGTATGGTCAAATCATTCTGCTCAGAACTGCCATTATAACATTTTGAAAATGATTCTTTATTCATTTCATTTACATGTTCAAGTGACATCTCTGCAAAATGAGAAACATCCTCTTTACATTCAAGAACCTCCATAATTTGATTTCTATTTACTGTATCAGTTTTTATTTACTAATCACTTCTAAAACTCTGAATTCTATGACTCCTGAACATAATTTATACTTATTAATTTGTCTCCCCATCTAGAGTTTAACCACCTTCTCTGTTCCTGAAATGCTCTCCTCTTCTCAACCTACTCATACTAGTCCTCATACCTTTATAGACTTTCCTTGATTCCTCAAATGGAGGCTATTTTCATTAACAAAATGTATATAGGACTTTCCATCTAATCTTGTGGCTCAATATGGCATGCAATTTTGTACTCAGCTCCCAGGGGACATTTGGCAATGTCTGGAGGCATTTTTGGTTGTCACAACTGGGGAGATGCTATTGGCATCTAATGGATAGAGGTCAGAGATGCTGCTAAATACTCCACAATATATAGGATGGCTCTCCACCATTAAGAAGTATCTGATTCAAAATGTCAATAGTGTTGCTGTTGAAAAATCCTAACCTAATTCAATCTTACACCTCTATTTCAAACCTGCCTATAATTTTACTTCTATATGTATGTGTTAATCATCTGTACTAGAATACAAGTCTTTGAAATACTAGGACCACATCTCATGCACAATTTCTTCGAAAGGCCTAGCACAAAGGCTGGTATATGTGTGGACACTCAAAAATGTTTAAAAAACCTATGTGACATAGAATATCTAGATCACCATTTATTGAATAAACATACAAGAAGAAAACACTTACCAATAAAGCTCCATTATGTTCAACATACACTTTCTTTGATGACTTTGATAATTCAGTTGTCATTTGAGGATCTTTAAATAGTAAAAATCAATTAGCATTATTCTAGTAAAGAGAGAACTTATAGTTGAACATATATATTTATAGCTAATAAGCAGAAAAACAGATTATTTTATAAACTTCACTGTATTTTTATAACAGATGAAAAGTTTCGAGTTTGAGGTTTGCAGAGCTAATATATCTATCTTTAATAGAGTTTTCTTCTGCCTCTCCTATGTTAAATGTGTTGAGCAGTTGTTGTTGTCTTAATGTGCTACAAACAACTAATCCTTGCTTTATGAAGGTCTCTCAGCTGCTGTACAGTAGGTGCTGGTTAAATCAGCTCCAATTTGTTTGCATTCCTCTAAGTGGAGCATCTAGCTGTTGGGCAAAATAAAACATTAAATTATCTTGCCAATTTGCTATAAATATTTGAAAATGATTGCTATTGGAATACATAAACAGTTTTTTAAGTTCCCTTATGAAATGAGCTGATGCATTTTGGTTACTAATTAAATATCTATGTTTATATAATGTCCTACAGTCTCCCATATATGGAAAAATGAATATAGCTTAGTGGCTGCCTGTTCTAGAGGACAATGTTCAAGCTATTTAGCTTGCCATTCAATATCTTCCCAAAGCTGTCCCCTACTTATCTTTTAGGCATATCTCTTTCATAAATATTCTGCTTCTGCTGAATTATTTTACTTATAATTTCTTGAATACATTTCTCACTTTCCACACCTCTAATGTTTATGTATTTTTCCCTCTTAAAATCTATAGAATGAACATTTTTCTATCACAGATTGAGCTTTCTCTTTTTACCCTTCTCCCAATCCAAATTCCTCTTGAATTGCTGATCACTGTAACTCATCCATCTCACATGCTAACTCTTCCAAAATGGCCGCCCCTCATCTTTCAAACCATACTTCTGCTTTTGAAATGATAGTCCCTGTACTACTTAATTAAGCTATGCTGCCATGTTGTTGTCATTATATTTATGCATTTTTATTTTTCATTTTCCTCAGATGGTAAAGTCTTGGGGGTAAGGACCGTGATTTACAGACATCTTTGAATCACACTCAGCACCTAGTAGTACACTGTCCTGTACATAGTAACTGTTCATTATACAGTAGTTAAATAAATGTTGAATGAGTTATGATTTTGCATTAGAACTAGAAAATGATGTGACAACCTGGTTATAAAACATAAAACAAAGTGTTTTTCTGATAGATATAATAACCAAATAATCAAACCATAATATATACAAATATAGTAACCAAAAGTGATGTGTGGACCTTGTTTGGATTTTGATTTGAACAAACTAACTGTAAATGGGTATTTGTGGCACAACTGGTGAAATGCATAATAGATGATACTAAGAATCTATGGTATGAGAAAGGCATACTCATTATGTCAAAATAGTTATCAGTTAGAGATGCACACTGAATAACTTTCAAATAACAAGTTTGATATTTGCTTTAAAATATTAGATAAAATATATGAGAAATAATAAAAAAACTTGGCAACATTTGTCAAAATATTGATAATTATTGAAGCAGAGTAAAGAGTACATGGTATACATTATACTATACCTCTGTAGTTTAATGTAGGTCTAAATATTTCCATAAAAAGTTTAAATATACATAAAGGAAAATGCCATAGAATAATCTTTCAGTCATTCATATAGTAGGAAAGTAATTATTAAGTTATTTAAGACACTGACTATAAGAGATTCTATGATTTGAATACATTTTCATTTTACAGTGTGTAACCCAACACCTAAGACCAATTCAAATACAAAAACATTCCACTGGTTGCTTAATGTCCTACTCCCTTGTATACCACCCAAGGCTATTGAATGCTTAGTGAGTCTGGCTTTTCACTGTTCTCTAAGGACCCATCACTGTTACTCATAACTGTCTGGCTTAAGAAGGTTGGAGTCAACACAATAGATAGTTACTGACTGAAAAGGATTTACTCTTTTATCCTGAGAATGACCAACAGCCCTGTAAAAGGCAGAACACTTCTTTATCTTTGTTAGCTGAACTGGATCCATTCATCTTCAACATCACAGAAGAAAAATGACGTGATGAAAACCTTTCTTGAATAGACATACCAGGGATCAGGTAAGAAATTTTGGACATGGCCAAGTAGCAAACAATAAAGAAAGATGGCATTCAAAGGCAGAAAACATATGAATTGGTGATTTGAACTTCAGACTTACAGTCTTTCAGTTTTGTCACCACTTTCTTGGACAAACTCCTCTTTATTACTCCTTCCATTGATCTGAAGCCTCTAACCTTGGTTATCTGTTAGCATGCTCAAAACCACCCCCACAAAAGCATAAAACCTAAGTCATATTCTTGTGCATGCTATGGGAACACAACCTCCAAAGAAGTGCTCTGCCTTCTCAGTTTTCAATCACCATTAAGCTCTTCCCTCCATTGTCAGAGATGCACCTCCATTTTCCTGTGGATTACTTAAATAACTTCTGTATTGGTCTCTTGTTTCCAATATTTTCTCTCTGCAACACACATAATGGAATGCTTTTAGGTTAGGCTTCCTAAAATACAGCACTTAGCATGCCACTCTCATATTCAAAAGCTTCCACTGGCTCACCATTGCCTGTTAAATAAAGCACATTCCCGTTCATTCAGTATTTCAGACCTCACAAATCTGTCTAAAGTCTACACTCTAATCTTGACTTTCTTTAAGCAACTTGAAACTGTAAACCAACTGAACTAGTTGCAGGTCCCTGAAAATACTCTGTACTTTGGGGTCTCCATTCTTTCCTCCTGTTAGTTAAAGCATCTCTTTTTAAACATTTCCACTCAAGGTACCCTCCAATTCTTCATTTCATCATCCCTTAGCATGTAACCTTGTCAGAATTAGCCTCTTACTCTGTAAGAATCTATAGCTCTTCATGTGTATCTTTCTTAGATATTTCTCTCACTAGTTAATAATATGTTATCAGCTTCATTTCTCTGGTCAACCATAAGCGCTTTGAAAACACAACTGCTTTATTTCATCTGTGTATCTCTAGTCTCTGGCACAGTGGTCTGTACTTACAATATGTTTAATAGACATTGGTTAAAGGGCTGATAGAAAGAATATTAAAAGTTCTATGCAAAGATAGAGATAGAGGTCAAGCAGTGCTTTCACAAATTGAAACATCATGATATTTAAATTCTAGTTATGAAATAAATTATTGTCATTCAATTAGGGCAGTGCTGGAAATTGGATTAAGTACATTCTTTGTTTTTTCACCTTTAGTCCTCTCAATTCTATAATTTTAGAAATGAGGGAACTGAGATTTGGAGAGATGAGGTAGCTTGTTTGTATGCGGTCTGAGATTCCCTTTCTAATTATACTATTAACATGTCTATGGAGCTCCAGAGTTTTGATGACATACCACGAGGGACACCTCAAACTAAAACAGACAATAACCTCACTTCCCATTCCCTACTTCTGTAACAGAAAAATTTGTTTTCTTTGTTTTGTATAGTGAAATTTTATTTTTTATTTTTACCTTGAATACCTGGAAGATAGGACATTCACTTTTTTATTTGCCATTATATCCTCTATTACCTTTGTGTTATACCGGATAATTTTACATACTTAAATTATTTACTTGAATGTACTGAAATATATAACTCTTCACTTAATGTACTAAGAATGATTTTAAGGCCGGGCGCTGTAGCTCACACCTACAATCCCAGCACTTTTGGAGTCCAAGGTGGGGGGATTGCTTGAGCCCAGGAGTTCAAGACAAGCCTGGGCAACAAGGTGAAACTCTGTCTCTATAGAGATGGGCGGATCACGAGGTCAGGAGATCGAGACCATCCTGGCTAACACGGTGAAACCCCATCTCTACTAAAAAAAAATATAAAAAAACTAGCCGGGCGAGGTGGCGGGCGCCTGTAGTCCCAGCCTCCAGGAGGCTGAGGCAGGAGAATGGCGTGAACCCAGGAGGCGGAGCTTGCAGTGAGCCGAGATCCGGCCACTGCACTCCAGCCTGGGCGACAGAGCGAGACTCCGTCTCAAAAAAAAATAAAAATAAAAAAAAAAATAAAGTTAGCCTGGCATGGTGGAGTATGCCTGTGGTCCCAGCTACTGGGGAGGCTGAGGTGGGAGGATGTCTTGAGCCTGGGAGGCAGAGGTTGCAGTGAGCTGAGATCACACCAATGTACTCCAGCCTGGGTGACAGACTGAGACTCCACCTCAAAAAAAAGAAGAAGAAAGTTTAAATAAAAATTTAGGTTACATTTACTTCCACAAAGCAGACACATCATGAGCCTATGCGCCTATTTAAATAATGCCATCGTGTTCCAACAAATATGTTCTAATCCACTTTTGGAACTGTTCTAAGAATCAATATACGTCTCATAAGAAAATACATTTTATTACTTTATAGTCTAAATTCCTACTTGTCCCAAATAGTTTTGGTTCTTTAAAGAAATGTTTTCCACCCTGAAAGGATAAAACCATTGTGAGAATACTTAAAATGTGATGTTAAAATCCAATGCCAAAAATGACATTTAAAAATTATTTTGAGAGATGCAAGGCTCACAAAGGTGGCCACTTGAAAGAGAGCTTGAGTGTGCAAATACTGATATGTGTGCATGTGTACATATATATATTATGGTATGTACATATATTTTGATATGTATGTTCTGATACATATATACATATGTACACACTGTATATTTTTATTTCCCTAGTTATAGCTTATATCAGAAATATCAAGCAAATTCTGTATATAAAAAAATTCAAAAAGATTCAAAATGAAAAATTTCTTCTGGGAATGAGAAAGAAAATTTTTTATGACAAAATTTAGCAACCTTTCATGTTAAAAACTCTCAGTAAACTAGGTATTGAATGAACATACCTCAGAATAACAAGAGCCATCTATGATGAACCCACAACCAACATCATACAGAATGGGCAAAAGCTGGAAGCATTCCCTTTGAAAACAGGCATAAGACAAGGATACACTCTCTCACCACTCCTATTCAACACAGTATTGGAAACCCTGGCCAAGCAATCAGGCAAGAGAAATAAATAAAGGGCATCCGGCCAGGTGCGGTGGCTCAAGCCTATAATCCCAGCACTTTGGGAGGCCGAGATGGGCGGATTACGAGGTCAGGAGATTGAGACCATCCTGGCTAACACAGTGAAACCCCGTCTCTACTAAAAAATACAAAAAACTAGCTGGGCCAGGTGGCGGGCGCCTGTAGTCCCAGCTACTCGGGAGGCTGAGGCAGGAGAATGGCATGAACCCAGAAGGCGGAGCTTGCAGTGAGCTGAGATCCGGCCACTGCACTCCAGCCCAGGCGACAGAGCGAGATTCCGTCTCAAAAAAAAAAAAAAAAAAAGAAAGAAATACAGGGCATCCAAATAGGAAGAGAGGAAGTCAAACTATCCCTGTTTGCAGACAACATAATTCTACCTCTAGAAAACCCCATAACTTCAGCCCCAAATCTCCTTGATCTGAAAAACAACTTCAGCAAAGTTTCAGGATACAAAATCAATGTACAAAATTCAATTCCTATACACCCTAACAGCAGCTAAGCCAAGAGCCAAATCAATAACACAATCCCATTCATAATAGCCACACAAATAATAAAATACCTAGGAATACAGCCTACTAGGGACGTGAAGGATCTCTACAATGAGAATTACAAAACACTGCTCAAAGAAATCAGAGATAATGAAAAGAAATGAAAACATTCCATGCTCATGGATAGGAAGAATCAATATCATTAAGATGGTCATACTGCCAAAAGCAATTTACAGATTCAATGCTATTCCTATCAAACTACCAATGACATTCTTCACACGACTAGTAAAATTATTTTAAAATTTAAATGGAACCAAAAAAAAAACCCAAATAGCCAAGGCAATCATAAGCAAAAAGAACAAAGCTGGAGGCATCATGTTACCTGACTTCAAACTATACTACAGGGATATAGTAACCAAAACAGCATGGTACTGGTATGAAAGCAGACACATAGACCAATGGCACAGCATAGAGAGACTAGAAATAAGGCCACACACCTACAGCCATCTATTCTGACAAAGCCAACGAAAACAAGCAATGGGGAAAGGACTCCCAATTCAAAAATGGTGCTGGGATAACTGGCTAGCCGTGTCCCAGATGATTGAAACTGAATCCCTTTGTTACACCATATATATAAAAAAAATCAACTAACAATGGATGAAAGACTTAAATGTAAAACCTCAAATTATAAAAACCCTGGAAGACAACTTAGGCAATATCATTGTGGACACAGAAATTGGCAAACATTTCACAAAAACGACCCTAAAAGCAATAGCAATAAAAGCAAAAATTGACAAATGGAATCTAATTAAACTTAAGAGTTTCTGTACAGCAAAAGAAACTATCAACAGAGTAAACACAACCTACAGAATGAGAGAAAGTATTTACAAACTGTGCATCTGACCAAGGTCTAATATCCAGAAATTACAAGGAACTTTAAGCAAATTTACAAGAAACAAAAACAACCCCATTAAAAAGTAGGCAAAAGACATGAGCAGACATTTTCTAAAGAAGACATACATGTGGCCAACAAGCATATGAATAAAAGCTCAATATCACTAATCATTAGAGAAGTGCAAATCAAAATAATAATGAGATACCATCTCACACCAGTCAGGATGGCTATTACTAAAAAGTCAAAAAATAACAGGTGCTGGCAAGGTTATGGAGAAAAGGGAATACTTATATACTACTTGTGGGAGTGTAAATTAGTTCAACCACTGTGGAAAGCAGTGTGGTGATTTCTCAAAGAGCTAAAAACAATTACTGTTTAACCTAACAATCTCATTACTGGGTATATACTCAAAGGAATAAAAATTATTCTACCATGAAGACACATGCATGCCAACATTCTTTGTAGCACTGTTCACAATAGTAAAAAACGGAATCAACCTAAATGACCATCAATGAAAAATTGAATAAAGAAAATGTGGAACATATACACCATGGAATGCTACACAGCCATAAAAAAGATGAGATCATGTCCTATGAAGGAACATGGATGGAGCTGGAGGCCACCATACTTAGCAAACTAATGCAGAAACAAAATGAAATATCGCATGCTCTCACTTGTAAGTAGGAGCTAAATAATGAGAACACATGGACACATAGGATGGAAAAAACACACACTGGGGCCTATCAGAGGGTGGGAGATGGGAGAAGGAAGAGGATCAGGAAACATAACTATTGACTACTAGGCTTAGCACCTGAGTGATAAAAAAAATCTGTACAACAAACCCTTGCAAGATGAGTTTACTTACATAAGAAACCTTGACATATGCACTTGAACCTAAAATAAAAATTAAAAAAAAAATAAAACAACAACAAAAAATACTTTGGCAGCCAAAAAAACTGTATTTGAGTAGTTCTTGGAGCTTTGAAATAGCAGATGGATAACCTAAAGATATTTCAGGTTGGTATTTTCAAATTGTTTCCTTCCTTGAATGCTATCCCCAAAAGATTTA